CCGTTTCATAGGGGAAAGTTTGAATTGAATTCCCATATCGTGCTTATTTTTCCCATACTAGCTTTATTCCCTACATCCATCAATACATAGTTTGTTCTATTCCTGTCCCATTTAAATTTTTAATATTACTTGTTCCTGACCTATTTCTAATATTAATTTTTAATATTACTTGTCCAATTTTTAATATTACTAATATTACTTGTATGCTACAATCAGCTTAACAAATTACTACGAGTTTTTATGCAGAAGTTACCTCAGCTTCTCCGAAACCCCAGCGAGCAGGTGAGCGAAGTATTGTGAGCTGTGACAATGGAATAGCTTCACTTCGGGCAGAAACGACAGTTCGGGTAGAAACAATACTGTGTTCTTCTCCCCCAGCAATACTTCTTTCTTGTGACGAGAATCGTGCTTCGGCCTCTTCTGGCGGCTTTATTTTGAGCGATTCAATACTTCGGGCAAAAACAGCATCTTGTTCTTTTCCCCAAGCAATGCTTCTTTCTTGTGACAAGAATCGTGCTTCAGCCAATTCTGGTGGCTTTGTTGTGGACGTTTCTTCATTTTGGACAAAAACAGAACCTTTTTCTTCTGCTCGAGCAATACTTCTTCCCAATCGTGACGAATATCGTGTATCAGTTATTTCAGATGGCTTTATTGTGATCGATGATTCTTCAGCTTGAATAGAAAAATTATCGTGGCGATCTTCTGCCCCAGCAGCATACCTTTTTTCACGTGGCGAATATCGTTTTTCAGCAATTTCAGGCGATTTTGTTGTGGACGTTTCTTCATTTTCGACAAAAACAATACCTTGTTCTCCTCCTCCAGCAGCACTTCTTCGTATTCGTGACGAATATCGTTTTTCAGTTATTTCTTGTGGCTTTATTGTGATCGATGATCCCTTACTTCGACTAGAAACAACACCATCGTGTCCTTCTGCCCAAGCAGTACTTTTTTGTCGTAACGAATATCGTGGTTCAACCACTTCGGCCAATTTTCTGGTAAGCGATTCAACACTTCGCGCAGTAACAGTACTTCGTTCTTCTCCCCCAGCAATACTTTTTTCTTGTGACGAATATCGTTTTTCAGTTGTTTCAGACGGTTGTGTTGTGGAAGTTTCTTCATTTTGGATAGAAGCAGTACCCTGTTCTTCTGCCCAAGCAGTACTTTTTTGTCGTAACGAATATCGTGGTTCAACCACTTCGGCCAATTTGCTGGTAAGCGATTCAACACTTCGGGCAGTAACAGTACTTCGTTCTTCTCCCCCAGCAATACTTTTTTCTCGTGACGAATATCGCTTTTCAGTTGTTTTAGACGGTTGTGTTGCGGAAGTTCCTTCATTTTGGACAGAAACGGTACCCTGTTCTTCTGCTCGAGCAATACTTCTGTGTCGTAACGAGTAGTACTGTGGTTCAACCACTTCGGC